GGGCAGTTTAACACACTTTACAAAAGAAAGTCCTGGAAATAGAGTAATATAGTGGAGGTTAAACTGCATATATACTATTTCTGATTTCATTTGATATTTGAATCCTGTTCTGTAGTATGAAGGAATATTTGGGAAAGGGACCGTCTTTTATAAAAATTGCTATGAAACATGAAACTTGCAGTACAGATAGCTACAAGGGACCTAGGTTAAACAGCTTGCCCACAAGAATGAAAATAAATCTGAAGACAAAATTGGAACTATTATTAAAAGTTGTTGAAACCACAAGACTTCTTTATTCTTTTTTCAGCTGAAGTAGAATATGTGGGGTGTGGTATTCCTATTAATTATTCTAGTGGCCCAGAGGCTAGCCATTAGCACTACCAGCTTGAATTTTTAACTAAAAATACCATATGTTCTTGCATCCAGTGCTCATCTTTTCCAGAATTCAGCTGCTGGAAACTGGAGTGTATATTGTTAGCACAATAGTATCAGTATCAGCCTCTGCCAGGGTGTCCTGCAAGTAACATTGCAGTGATGCATGTGGGATTTCCTGGCAGGCATGCCATGGATTGGCTCTGTACCCTCCCCCAGTGCCACTCTGGTCCCCTTTCTCTGCCCAGCCTCCTGCCCTGCCTTATGCTCCTTATTCTGTGGTCCCTGCCTGATCTCCTCTGCTTTCTGCTTCCTGTTCTGTCCTTCCCATCCTGATCTCCTGCTTTATTTCTACTTCCTGCCCTTTCTGCTGCTATGCTGCCTGTTCCTTCCCTGATCTGCTCCATGCCATGCACAGAAGCTGCCCTTGCCACTTGTAACACTTGTGCCATAGGTTGACCAAATCTGTCCTAGCATATCTTATTTTGGAGCATGAGTATGAGAAAATACAGTATTCTTGGATAGTCATAAATAAAAATAAATACAAGTGCTCTCATAAAGTGTCTGACTGGTATAAAATTATAATCACATAGAGAATGTATTGTAATGAACAAAATGAATGTAGTGGAAAATAATGCTGTGCAAAACACCATCGTTTTATTTTGATGTCTGTTTCGCTGTTTTGAAGAGACACTGTTTCATTTTGTTTCATTGTTTTGTTTCCGGAAAACTGCTTCGGTGAGTTTTGATGTTTCGCCCATAATGTGGGATCATGAAAATGACTAATATTTCATCATTTCTTGCCTGATTTGGATGAAAACTGGAGGCATGGTAGCCCATTCCAAGGACATGACGCCTGCCAAGTTTCAAGGAGGTAGGTGCAGAGGTTTCTGGGAAACTGCACCTCAAACTGTTCAAACCAAAAGTCCTGACACTTGCCAGCAGTGGCAGCCTCCTCTCATCCGGCACGCAGATCCTGGGGCTCGCACCCCTGGGAGGATTTTGGCAAAGCCCAGCAGCCCTTCCGGGGGTGCAAGCCCTTGGATCTGCACCCCAGATGAGAGGAGGCTCAGGCTGCTTCTCCTACCTGGGACTGGCCTGCCGTTGAGCGCAGCCCACACCCAGCACAAGACTGCTGGTAATGCTGCTGCCGCCTGCACCTCCTCTCATCCGGTGTAGATACAAGGGCTCTCACCCCCAGGAAGAGGCTGGCACAGCCTGGCAGCCCTCCCAGGGGTGCAAGCCCCCAGATCTGCACCTCAGATGAGAGGAGGCTCGGGCTGCCTCTCCCACCAGCGACTGGTACTCCCCACTTGTCTCCCTGCCTGGCTCCAGCCCCCCTTGCAGCTTATCAGTAACAGCAGCTGCACTCTGACCTTGTGGCACAGCCCCCCTGCACAGCAGGGGGCAGCATGGCTTGGCCCCAGCTGCCAGGTATCTGTGCAGCCTCTGCCACAATGCGTTGCTCCAGGCTGTCACCCAGGGCTGCGCACCGCTTATAGGGACTGCTCGCCACACCAGCCTGGGTCCTGCATGCATGAGACCTGTGCCATCTGGCCAGGCCACTTCTGTGCATGCAGGACCCAGGCCGGGATGGCTGGCGGTCCCTGTGAGCGGTGCAAAGCCCCAGGTGACAGCCCAGAACTGACTGAAAGCGCACAGCACCATGCTGGGTTGCAGCAGCACGCTGTGGCAAAGGCTGTGCGGATACTTGGTGGCTGGGGCCAAGCTGCGCTGCTCCCTCTGTGCAAGGGGGCTGTACCAAAAGGCCAGGAGCGCGGCTGCTGTTGCTGGTTAGCTGCCAGAGGAGCTGGAGCCAGGCACAGGCTGAGTGGGGGGGCTATAGCTGAGCAGGGAGGCGAGTGGCGGGTGCTGGTCCCTGGTGGGAGAGGCAGCCTGAGCCTCCTCTCATCCAGGGTACAGATCTGGGGCTTACACCCCTGCGAGGGCTGCAGGGCTGTGCCAGACTCCTCCTGGGGGTGTGGGACCCCCAATCTGCATGCTGGATGACAGGAGACTGCTGCTGCTGCTTGGGACCAGTGCTAGGCACAGTATGTGGCCAGTGCTGGGAAGATTGGTGCTGCCACTGGCCCTAGTTGGCAGCGACAGCATGCTGTCATCCCATGCGCAGATCCAGGGGTCTGCACCCCCAGGAGGGCTGCAGAGCTGTACCAGACTCCTCCTGGGGGGCACAGAACCCTGGATCTGCACGCTGGATGATAGGAGGGTGCCGCAGCAGCACCAGTCTTCCTGGGCGTGGGCTGCGTCCAGTGTTGGTCCCAGGCAGCAGTAGCAGCCTCCTGTCATCCGGTATGCAGATTGGGGGCTGTACCCCCAGGAGGAGTCCAGCACAGCACCACAGCCCTCCCGAGGGTGCGGGCGGCTCCCTGATCTGTGTGTCAGATGACGGGAGGCTGCTGCTGCTGGCTGGGACTGGAACTGGATGCAGCCTGTGCTGAGTGCTGGGAAGACTGCTGCTGCTGGCCCCACCTGGCAGCCATAGCATGCTGTCATCCTGCGCACAGATCCGGGGACCCACTGCCCTGGGAGGGCTGCCGGGCTGTGCCAGACTCCTCCCAAGGGGGCACAGCTCCAGGATCTGCGCGCTGGATAACAGGAGGCTGCCACTATCGGTTGGGATCGGCGCTGAAGCCAAGTAAGCTTGGCTTCAAAATTCGAAACATTTCAAGTGTCCTTGTTTCATTTTGAAGCTGTTTCGAAGGGTTTTGTTTTGTTTCAATTTCACTGTTTTGAGCTGGAAACGCATCAAAACAGCTCTGAAATGAAACACCCAGAGAAATTTCATACAACCATAGCAGAAAATGCACTTTTTAGTTCTTGGTTTGAGAGGAATGGATAGTAAGGTCCAAGGTTGAGAATCATCACTGTGACTACTAAATGTCTGCAAATTTTCTGTCCGTGTCCTTGTTGAAACATGGCAATTTAAATTCTTAAGCCATGTCATCTAGGCTGATACGCAAGTGATATGATTTACTTTTGGGAAGGACTATTTATTATCATCAATATGCCACTTCTTGTAGATTGAGACTGAACGGTACATGAGTTTGGGAGTGAAATATTAAGAGATGAGCCTTTTACTTCTAGGAACAAGCTAGGTTGGTAGTTAACCAGTCTTTACCGTCTGCTGATTTGGCCTGTATGGAAGGAGTTGATAGATTCCGTAAGTGGACAGGAGGTCTGCATCCAGAATAACCATTGCAGTTTAAAATATTTTGTACTTTACTGACTAGAGGCTAAAGGCTGCATGTAGAGTAGTGTCTTGCTTCAGGAAAACACCATCTGTACAACTTATTTCAACTTTATAAAGGGATAACACACAAGATTGCATTACCCTTGTGCTTTCAAAAACTTTAAATTAAACTCTTTTATATATATTAAACACAACAAGTTATTGCTTGTTTATGCTCAGCTGCTGGCTGATCATGTTGATTTTAATCCTTTCACTTAGCAAAGCCCTTGGCTATATCTGTTTTTAAATACTAGACTACTGAAGAAGTCTATCAATTTATTAGCGGCAAGTGGATTTTTAAAAGGCCTGGGGTAACTACTAAACAGAATACATTTCTATTGACTTAATCATTTTAAAGATTTACCTTTCATAAATAGTACATTTTTTTTTTCTCTCTGTTCTATCCTATATCATTTTAATAGCAACTATGTGTATATGGGTTTGTGTCTGTTTGTGGGTGTGTGTACTCTAATTGCTATAAAATACATTATACAATTATAGTTGCTATAAAAATAAATCTTACTTTATATTTGGAAGCAACCAATGTGTAATAAGTATCGATAACACTTGTATATTTTTGTGTGAATGCTGCATGTTTATAGATCTCTGGGTCACTGGTTTGTTTTTTATTCAAAGTGCAGTTGTCCACGCACATACTAGTCTGTCTTCACAGTTTTCCATATGTTTTAGCCACTTTTCTTTCACTGTGTTTAAACTCGGATACGTCTCCAAGGCAACATGTACCATGAAGATTGTTGATTTTCCATAAAATTCCCCAGCTGTTGGCTCTGTTTACAGTAGGTTTAATTTGTTAGATAAAGTGCAGGACATACACAATGTCTAGTGGTATTATGACTTTGGAACATGACCAGCTGAAAATAGTTTTTAGTTGGCTGAACTTCTCAGTCACTGTCATGAGGCCCTAGATTTCTGGCTGCATACTACTGATGGCCCAAAACATTAATCTGTTGAATACTGTGGGAATATTTATTCATTTGGCTGGCAGGCTAAAAAATGCTTCCAGGCTAATTGTTTCCTATTAGATGCCAAAATGAAAATGTATTTTTTGCAGTAGAAGGTAAAAACTGCCCTCTATTTGAAGTCTGAATGTAGGGCTGTTTAGTTTGTTTTCATAATGTATACATTTATAATGTTGCAGTTATAATATGCTCTTGAACATAAGGAATGAGTACATGTAAATGCTTTGGGTATATCCTACCAAGGTTCGACTAAGATGATTCTTGGTAATGTAGTTAAAGTTAAGCAAATGATTTGGGAAAACGTTTTGAAATTACACATACTTTTTTTAAAGTGTCTTACATCCAATGCAAAAGTGTTTTCAAACTCTGAATGGATTTTTGTTTTCCTTTTGGTATAGGACGTGTATGATACAGAAAGTGTTGGAAGGACCTTTATATGAGAAACCAAACTAAGCTGGACAAGACGCAATAAGCAGTAGAAAAGGTATGCCAGATGCCTCTATCTAGCTTTTTATGCTTCTTTCCTTTTGAGGTGGGTGTGTGTGTGTGTGTATAATATATGTGTGTGTATTTCATTTAGTGTACAGTTTGTACATGGTTGGCAAAATACTTTATTGCAGTGATTGGCTGCTAAGTTTTTATTACTTTTTCTGGCAGAAGTTTAGGTTCTGATGCTTAACCTGTTTATCTGTAGAGATCTTTCTCTAAACCAATTTGTGTAGCTGTGATGGCAGATCTGCTGTTTATAAATGTATACTGATTGACTAGATTTTCCATAAAGCCTATTTAAAAAAAAAAAAATCAATTGTAAAACATTTTGCATTTTAAAGAATGCTTGTCAATATTTTAGTGC